TATATATATATATATATATATATATATACAGCTGTAATTAAACATTTTCGAATTTCTTTCATTTCCCTCACAATCGATCTACATTTTACGTCCCAGAACAAAGCACTTAAAACTCTATTGATTTTTTTATTTAAGCATTTCACCCCAAGCAAAGCGGGATGCCACTAGCCCGCAAGGGGTTACAGAGAGTGGGAACGAGAGCAAAGATAGGAGGATAGAGAAAAGGATGAAGAGAAGGACAGGGAATAGATCAAAGCATCTAGAGATGTCGATTGACATTACATTTGAATAGTTGAAGATTATAGCTATCAGAGAAACAAGTAAGAGGAAGGGAATTCCTCAGATGGGAAGTGCAAGACAGGAGTAGAAGAGACGGCTAATTTTAATCGTTTCAACAGTGAAAGGGTGTGACCGAGATGCCAGCCTATGAGCACGTTTAAATTTATGCAGTCTGGGAACTAGCGAAAGTAACTCGTATGATGTAGCCGTGTACATTTTCATATTATAGCTTATGTATTCATGGGAGAATATGTTTTCCCAAAGCTAAAGAATTGTATTAAGAACACTATTTACATTATTCGGACTATTGCCCTCATCTTTGTCGCTATATTTATTACAACGTTTTGGTCGTTGTACGCTCCGGCCTTCATCAGGTGGTTGGAATGTCGCCAAATCAAGGCTCCAGTTCGACATTTCGCGAAATCAAGGGTTCAGTTAGACATTCCAACCACCTGATGAAGGCCGGAGCGTACAACGGACGAAACGTTGTAATAAATATGGCGACAAAGATGAGGACAATAGTCCGAATAATGTAAATAGTGTATATAATACCTCATCTCAGAAATATAGACAGATACTATATTAAAAACCACGCAAATTTCGTTAGAAAAAGAGAAAATAATGAAGAATTATTATGTAATATCAACCCTCTTAAATGGCAAGGAATGCCCGACATTCTATTCGCAGAAGAAGAGGCTTTAAATAAACGTAGCTCGACCGAAGAATACTGAGAAAACTATGGGCGGGACATGTTAGCAATGAGGATGTTTTAATAAATATGATTTAAAAAAATGAGATTTATAGTTCGAAACAGCAAGAGACATTTTTTTTTTAAATAAGACGCTTCGGAGAATTTCACACTCACGTGACATATTGACGGGGAAAGGAACAGAGAGAAACAGAAATTAATATACCTCACGAGGTGGCAAAATAATATAAGATTTAATAAACATGGACTAGAAATTATGGACTAGAAATTATAGTAAAGGTGCAAACATTGCTTAGAGATACAAAGAATAGGATGTTTTGGAGAGCCATGATCGCCTAAGTCCTAAAGAAAGACACATACATTTACATAAAAGATGATTTAACAGTTTGTACACTAAACGGATTCTAGTGTTTGCATATGAAGAGGTTCGTAGAGATGGGATGCATTTAAATATCGAGGCGTGTTTGTTAACCAAAACAAGTTTACCTACGAAAATCGTTATCTAAAGACAAACAAAGCAATAAATGTTTTCGAGAAAGACGATTTTGTGCAGCGGATTCGTTACCAAAGAATTCTCACGGAACTTTGTTTGGTGAACCCGTTGGGCTGACTTCCGTGTGAACAAACAGCTTCTCACAACAAACAGCGCCGAGCATACATCGAACGAACGATGCAGTCGGCCGTAGTTCATTAGAGGCGCCTAGGGAAACATTTGGGCCAATTGACACATACACTTTGAAATTTAAACAAAAATAGAAGTTTATATATATATATATATATATATATATATATATATATATATATATATATATATATATATATATACTTTATGTAATTTACCTTTCCAAAAGAAACAAATACACAGAAAAAAAAGCTATTGGAATTGTTTTTTTCAAAATATATCATTTGAAAATCTATATAGAATTATGCAGATATACGTGTCTTACATACGCATATACACACCTGCCTGCATGATGTACACGGGTTCATGAGGGCACACAAATATACACACACGGAAAATACCCCATGAACCTGAGTACGCGCACACACAATCACATATTTAGAGGTCGAGAGATAGGCATATAAGCAGTCACGCACGCATACACCAACAATTCCTTATGCAATCAAACACGGTCGTACGCATGCATATAAGACGAAACAATGCCCCAACTCATTCATATGTAAACAAATACAAAACATACACACGAACACACAGAAACGGAATCATATACTTTTTCTATTGTAGGAAAAGGTATGAATATATGTGATTATGTATATCTACAGATGCGTTTTTATATAAAATGATCCATATATATATATATATATATATATATATATATATATAAAGAAATATAGTCTCAAGGTGTGCTATATTTATGGGATAAAGGGCTCGATATCAGAGATAGAGCGTCTGTAAATATAAAAGTGAACATAGAAGTCAACACTTAGAGGCGACAGTCTGTTTCATGCTATATGCAATCGTCAGGCCACATGTGCAGTTATTTTTCTCGGCTATTTATACATGTATAAATATTTATACATGTTTATACATATTTATACATGTATAAATAGCCGAAAAATAACAGACTGTTACTCTAAGTACATCTAATTATGTTCACTTTTATATATATATATATATATATATATATATATATTGCTTAGAAATCATCTATGTAAACAATGACAGTCTATCATCATTTTCTTGTCCGTATATTGCTTAATATGTTGTAATTGACATCTTTGATAATGGCTTATGTAAGCCGAAAGCTTAGATAGTATTAAATAAAAAAATATGGATCAATATTGTGAATTTCTTTCTTCGTTCAACGATAATGTTATTAAACTTATCAGATGTTACGAAAAAAAATTACATAAAATAAACAACACTTGTCTATATTATTTAATGAAACGTCTATGAATATATATATATATATATGAAATGTCCGCTGCTCAAAAAGAACTCGAGCGTGTTGAGAAAACAAAAAGAAAATTCCGCCTATTGCTCCTGAGTGAGCAGTAATGGCCGACAATATTTTCATTACCGGAAATGACGATAACACTATTCGCCTGGAAAAGGTGGCTGATACAAATACAATATACCTCCAAAACACCTCTCTCTCTCTCTCTCTCTCTCTCTCTCTCTCTCTCTCCCCTGTTTCTTCCCCTCTCTCTCTCCCTCACACTCTCCTTCCCACTCTCTCCTTCCTCCCACTCTTTTTTTCTCTCTCTTTCTCACACACACGCACATAAATATCCTCCATCTTGTTTTTATTTCTCTTACACTGTCCCACGCCACTGTCACAAGATAGCGTAATAACATGCGAATGGAGGGGAAATATAGGTTTACCTATCTCAAAAGGATTTTTGTGTGTCAGCATAACAGATCTAAAACAAAAATTACCACCTTTGTTATTTAATTTGTCATTTAATTTATTGTAATGTACTTGAAATCTCTGATGATGGCTTATACAGCCCGAAAGCTTAGAGAGAATGAACGATGAAAACATATGGACATGGTGATTTTCTTTCGTGTTTCAGTGATGATAATAAAAAGCTTCTTGAACAAATTGAAAATAATTTACTTAAAATAAATAGACAAAATCTTTCTATATTAGTTAACGAAACATCCATTAATATATATATATATATATATATAGGTCTGCTCTACGGTTGTATTGAGCTCTTTTGTTAGTTAGTTGTTACTCATATCAGGGTTTTCATTGGGCTAGACCTGCATCTGTGAGATTTTTGTCGGCAGAAGTTCATGTTTGTAGTTCTTTCTTTTTTAAACCTTTTTTCCCTCGAGATTGATTTGATTAGCAAATCAAAATTCGAGGGTTTTTCAAAACGAGTCTAGTTATATATATATATATATATATATATATATATATATATATATATATATATATATATATATATATATATTATTAGTGGTAAATATACACATACCTATGCAAAATATATAAATATATATACATACGTGCATACAGATACATATATATTTTTTGAATAAAAATCCAAGAGGATAGAATCCTGGTAGAACTCAATGTCCGCGACAGAGTAAGGATATAATAAAAAGCTTAAACACTAATATTCCATGGTCACTATTTATTCCATTGGAATCGTATTTGCGATTCAATGGAATATATATATATATATATATATATATATATATATATATATATATATATATATATACAGAGAGAGAGAGAGAGAGAGAGAGAGAGATTATGAAATGGGCTTAGTCCTACAATTATTTTAATATATTTTCTGTTTATACGTCATTGTTATTGATACAATTATTTAAGTAAATGCTCTGTCTATAATAAATAGTATTAAGTACATTTACCGGTTTGTATATCCGACAAATTTCGTGGAAAATATGCGTCCTCCGACAGGAATTGTACCTGTATACTAAACGGAATCATCATTTGGACTGACGTGCTCTACCATTTAACCACAGAGGAAGCTTCCGGTTAGCAAAGACAACGGACGCATATTTTCTTAATAAGTTTTTTTCGGATATTCAGGCCGGTAGATGGAAATAAATACTGTTTAATGAATAAATAAAAACAGAGTATCTACTCAAAGATGTGCATCCATAATCAAAAAATTAAACAAATAAATTTTATATATATCTATATCTATCTATCTATCTATCTATCTATATATATATATATATATATATATATATATATATATATATATATATATATATATAATGGAAGGATGTGTTTGTGTGTGGGTGTATTTTGGTTATAATGATTGCTTTGTATCGCTTGCTAGAGAATGCTTCATTGCTCGATAACCGTTGAGAAAATTCCGTGTGCGTGGGAGACGCAGCTGCCGGGATGCAGTATTGATGTGAGATTAGTGCGAGGATGTGGAAGCAAAAATGAAATGTCCGCTGCTCAAAAAGAACTATCTCGAGCGTGTTGAGAAAACAGAAAGAAAATTCCGCCTATTGCTCCTGAGTGAGCAGTAATGGCCGACAATATTTTCATTACCGGAAATGACGATAACACTATTCGCCTGGAAAAGGTGGCTGATACAAATACAATATACCTCCAAAACACCCCTCTCTCTCTCTACCCTCTTTCTTCCCCTCTCTCTCTCCCTCTCCCTCCCACTCTCTCCTTCCTCCCACTATTTTTTCTCTCTCTTTCTCACACACACGCACATAAATATCCTCCATCTTGTTTTTATTTCTCTTACACTGTCCCACGCCACTGTCAGAAGATAGCGTAATAACATGCGAATGGCGGGGAAATATAGGTTTACGTATCTCAAAAAGGAAAAAAAAATGACGCAAGTTTAACAGGAAAGGTTATGAAAAGAAATGCTGGAAACAAAGAAGATATAAATCAATATAGGAAAGAATGAAAAGGGGGGAAAAAGAGAGGACTTGAATAATTTGAAAGGGAGAGAGACGGCTAAGACAACAATCAAAGAGAAACCCGTATGTGAAGAAATTCAGAACTAAAGGAAAAAATATATATATATAAGAAAAACCAGGAAAGTAAATGAAGAAAAATGTCTACAAAGGAAAAAAGAAGTGCATTTCAGTGACAGTGATGTTTTATCTAAACTGAAATTGTGAGCCACGAGGGAGTTTTAAATTAAATTGAATTTATTATTATTATTATTATTATTATTATTATTATTATTATTATTATAACATCTTCCTTTGGTTATGGGCGCGGTTTATTTCAAATATATGCAGCACCGGAATCCGTTATTTCCTTTGATTTCTCGTGTATCCTCATTTCTTTACGAGTTCCAACCCGAGACCTAAGATCAGAAATGGCATCATGACATTTTCAATTGAGCATTTTTAGAGGAAAAAAAACCCTAAGTTTACACTTATTTTACATAGATAAAGCCCTTCGTAAAGTGTTTGCTGTACATGTGACTACAATTCTTTTCTATTTCTTTGAGGCATGATCTACCAGGAATTCCTTCATTGAATCTATCGGACCATTTTCCAATCAGTCCGAGGGTGACAATTACAAATGGTATTGGTGAAGTCATCATGTGACAAGTTTTTTTGATTTCGATTTCAAGGTCTTTTTATTTTGATATTTTTTAAAATCTTCAAAGATATATTGCAATCTGCACGGACTGCCATGTCAATAAGAAGGTACATTTTGTTTTAGCGTTCTCTGATTACAATGTCTTGGAGATTAGTATTGATTCTTCTGTCTATGTGCAAAGTCCCATAGAATTATACAAATTTTATGGTCCTATCTCTCTAATTGGATCTGGGCGGTGTTCCCATCAATTTCTTTCAAATTCATTTCCGTAAAATTTGCATATTATCTAATGTCGATATTGGCCTACTCTGTCATGCCGACTTCATATTCAGTGCATTTAAATACCGAGCAACCTGATACGTGTTGGTCAATTGTTTCTGGATACTTATCACAGAATCTGCATTTTGGTTTAACATCATCTTTCAGTGTGTTTTCTTGGTAATTTCTAGTTAGCAAACATAGGCCTTGTGCTGCAAGAATAAAACATTCAGTTTAAGCTTTTAGCCCTGCACTACGTAACCACTTAATGGTACGGGATTTGTCTACATCAGCTTGTTTGGTACGGGCAGACCATGAAGAGGTTCATATTGCAATTGTTTCTGTATCTGGTCTATTGCATTTGCGTTTGACTTTTTTTAAGGTTTTTGCAGCTTCAGTAGGTGAGTTGTTTTACTTTCATTTATTCACACATTTGAAACTCCATTTTGAAATTGTCGGCTTTCTTTATTACTGAATAACGTTTCTTGTTTCATGTTCTTTGACACAGATCATCATTCAGTCTTCTGTCGTTTCTAGGTATCTTTGAAGGTCGATTGTTGTAGTTTGGTAAGACAGTTCTACTTGAACTTTTCCTCTGCCTCCTTCGGATTTGGGCACATTCAGACGATCGTCATCAGCATTGGGATGATGCATACGATGAGAAGTGAGAAGGCTACTCTTTTTTTTTTTTAAGCGTTTCATCCCAAGCAAGGCGAGAAGCCACTAGGTCGCAAGGGGTTACAGAAGATTTGGAGCAAGATCAGATAGGAGTGATAGAGATAAAGGATGAGGTGAAGGATAGTGGTTAGATCAAGGCAACTGGAGATGTCGATTGACATTACATTTGAATAGCTGGAGATTATAGCTCTCAGGGAAACTGGAATAGGGAAGGGAGTTCCACAGGCGAGAGGTGCGAGACATGAAGCTATTGGAGTAGAAGAGATGGCTACATTTAATAGTTTCAACAGTGAAAGGGTGAGAGCGGGATGCCAGCCTTGTAGGGCGCTTGAACTCATGAAGTCTGGGAACCAGTGAATGCAGGTCCTCGGAGCAATTGCCATGAAAGTATTTGTAAAAAAGACAGAGAGAGGCGAGGTGCGCCTGTGAGAGAGTAACTGTAGACGAGATGCCAGAACAGGGCCAGTTATATTGCATATCCGCCACTGGAGCCTATCAAGAACCCCGAGGCAAACAGAAGGGGCCCCAAACCATATATGGCAGCAATACTCCATGCAAGGGCGAATTATTGATTTGTAGATCTGGAAGATCGATTCCGGGGAGAAATATTTCCTGGCGCGGCACAGGGAGCCAACTTTACTTGCGGTGGACCAAGCAATTGACTCAATGTATTTGTTCCATCTCAGGTCAGCCGTCAACGTGAGACCGAGCAGCCGCAGAGAGGTGCTCTCGAGAAGTTGAGCGTCAGACATTCGAATGGAGGGCAGGGAAAGATCTCTGTGGTGATTAATAGAGAGCAGTTTTGTTTTTTAGGCATTAAAGTTGACCAGCCAATTCATGCCCCAGTTCACAACCGATTGGAGGTCCATTCGCTTAATGTCATCTACGGTCCAGTTAAAGATGTTGAAATTTCATTGTACCACGGAGGCAGCCAAGGTGTTTATGGCTTATATTCTGCTTTTTGAATTCAACTCGTTATTCAATACCAAACACACACCCCTATAATAATATTTTCTTTCTTTCTCTTTCATTTGGGTATGCTGCATGCGATGTCCTTTGCTGAGTCCCAATTATTTATAGGCTTACTCTTATTACATTTCCCTAAACTTTATGAAAAAATCTAGATCTATTGAGTGTGTTTCTGTAATTCTCCTTTTATTGAATGTCACTTTTGAACGTTTATCTAGTCCGAAATCCATATCTATGTTGTCAGTGAAACATTGTATTTTACTGAGGAGACCATTCAGCTCATGTTCGACTTTGGCAAAGAATTTGAGATCATCCATGTAGAGTAGATGATTGAATACGTTCTTGTTTATTTTGTATTCGTATCTATTATTGTTAAACTCATGGATAAGGGGGCTTCAGGACAGACAAAACAGAAGGGGTGACAGGGAGTCCCCTTGAAAGATTCGCCGACGGATATTCATACGGTTGGAGGTGCCAGTGATTCTGCTGTTATTTAGATATAATAAGGTTTTCTACATACCCATGGTGTGTTTAAGAATATTTATTATCACTAAGGAGACTTTGTATATTTTCAAACTCTTATGGATCCCTGAGTGTGACACACTATCAAATGCTTTACGGTAAACTATCTATGCTGTTCTGAAATTTCTGCTGCTTTTCCTGCAATTTTCCAGGATAATTTTGTTTATCTTTACAACCATACAGACCTCTTCTTCTCTGTTCCGGTGGAAGAACGTTGTTTTCTTCAAGAAAAGAATGAGTATAGTTCATCAGAACAGACGTGATCAATTTGTACGTGGTGGACAGGCATGTTATTGGCCTATAATTGAGTGTGTGTGTGCATTTCACTTTTTATTAATAAAAATAAAAATAAAATAAGAAAAAAGAAAAAAGTCGACACTTAATAATATTAACTACGAACATGGTTACAATGTGCTAACTGTGTTCGGAAATTAAAACAGCTCTATAACACTAAAAAAGGTACACACAACGCATACACATTCAATTAAACTGAAAAATAAAATCATCCTTGATAACGGCTAAAAGTATAATCTAAGACGCTCGGAATTATAGAACATTTGGACAATTTCTGCATACTCTGTGTCCCAGAAAAAGCACTTGTTCCAATTACTCCAAAATTCGCTTGAGGATGAAATGGAACTAATGTCTTTAATTTAATTACAAAATTAAATTCTGAGCTTTTGCTTCCATTTTTGAAACATCGTTAGAACTGTGTAGCGGAAAAACCATATTTTAAATCAATTAATTTATATAATATATATATATATATATATATATATATATATATATATATATATATATATATATATATATATATATATATATAACGTATGTATTTATATAGGGTTCCTCACACATATTTTCTCAAAATACATACGAGTGGCTGCTGGAATTTTAATTTTAACATCTGCTGCTCGGAAAGTTGCTTCACTGTGCCTTATAAGACATTTATTTCTCATCGGAATTTGTCTCGCAGCTCTATAAGTTTACCATTTTACCATTCGTAAGTGCATTGACTATTTCTGCCATATCTGGTCCGGTTCTTCTTCTCTATATCTAGAGATACTCGACAGCATCCAAAGAATCTGCAATGTTATATGCCCTGATCTGGGATCTTGGCTTCAATCTCTTTTCCACAGCCGTAACATGGGTTCCGTATGACTTTTCGAGAAACAACTTCATGGCTGGTGTTCGGCTGTGTTTTCCTCCTCAGTACCTCAATTTCATGAATTCAGGTGTAGTGCTAAATTGGCAGATAGATCTCCTCATTTTAATGTTGAAATTACTAACATAAGTTCAATTCTAATTCTTTCTTCTTTTGCACTTCCTAGCTTCTGGCTTGCCTGTCAACGACGATCTTTGAAAATTAAATGCAACATCAATCGTCATATTCTCTATAACTTTTTCTTACTTTCTTTCGCTCTCATTAACCTCTTGGCTTTATCAACTTTCTTGGGATGAAAAGATTAAAGGAAGATGTACGATTAGATTATCAATTTTCTTTATTTTATTTTATCATTATTGGGTTTTTTGTATCCTACGTGGTATTAGTAATTATGTTTTTTATGAAAGACATATATTGTATAGTCTTGGGTATGACGATAAACTACATCCGGCAGCAAGGCATCCGATCAACAGATTGAGGTTTTGAGAAGTATAGAACTACCTCTTAATTGCTGTTGTTCCCAGACCCAACCTGACTGCGGATGTTAGCAACTGTTAGAGAAGAAATCACTATAAACAAATAGTTTAATAGTAAAATGACCAACAATACATTTTATCTGTATTTGAAGGCATACAATTACGTTCAATATATAGTCAGTTGAAAGCATAAAATTGATCAAAATATTCAGATTTTGGAATTAAATAACCAATGGAGGTTGATATACCGCGAAACGAAATCGACCAATCAGCATAAAAGAGCTTTCATGACATCAATCCGTATAATATCCTACAATTTCTTAAAGAAAGACGGTATTGCTAAATATAACTTCAACAAATCTACAACATAAAACACATATCTCTTCGCCTCCAATGTCCAAACAAACATGTATATGCACAAAAAGCTGAGTACCATCTACCATGTATACAAGTGTGATAGCAGAATAACACGTACCATATTTTTATTACGTCAAAGCTACCAATGAAAGTAAATTTCGGCATTAAATAACCCTTAAGGAGTTGATAAGCTGTTAAACAAAAAAAAAAACAATCAATCAATATATATTTATTATTTTAAACGTAAATTTACCGTAAAGGATTCTGAAATTAGTCTGCTTTCAATACATTTTTGCCATATTTTATTTTTTATTTTAAACGTACCTACATTTATGAAGTTGATAGTCTAACCTTTTACAATGAACAATTAATGCACTGAGTTCGTTGTTTTTTTTTTAATGCCAATTACATATTCATTTAAACTTTTAATTAAATTCTTACATGCCTTACTTATGTATATATTAGGAGATTTGGGATTCCATTTTTAAATTTCCGCTGAAGGTTTTATTCTAAAATTCTTTTGTCTTGTGTTGATTAAATCTCTTATTCTTATTTAAGTAATTGTGAAAACTTTTTATGCTAAATTTCGATAAATTATTTTCAGTTCTTCTCATTATTGAATCGAGTTCCCCTACCGATGACCTTGTCTTCATTATGGCCGGTTGGTACTTTATTCACTAGACCCTCTTTCCTTAATATGTTTGTCGGTAATTTCCATTGGCACTTTCCCATATTAATTACAAATCTACTTGAAATTATAATTCAAATTAAATCTTCCTCATTGCTAAAGGAATTCGCAATATATAGAAAAGAAAAAATATTAAAAAATGACAGAAAGCTGGAAAGAAATTAAAGGAAAATAATTACATTACAGTGAACGATTTCTGTTATATTTTTTTTAATATTTTTTCTTTTCTGTCCTGAATTTTTTCACACTCGTATTTCTATTTGATTTTGTTACTCCTGTCACTTTTTCTTTTTTTTTCTGTTAAGTTCTCTCTTTTTGTCCTTTTCATTGTTTCATTCATATCTTCTTTCTTTCTATTTTTTTCTTTAACATTCTTCATTCTGACGTTTATTATCGAGTTCATTTCTTCTGATATTCTTTTTTACAAACTTTTTCCTTCACATTTACAATTTTTCCTCTTTTATTTTATTTTCATTTCTTTCCTTTCTCAAATATTTCTTCTTACTTTTCCTTCATTTTCAGGCCTCATCCTTTCGTTTTTCATAGATTTATACTTCTTTATCCTGCGTTTGTTTATTTACATATTTATACTTCATTATACTTCTTTATGTATATATCTATTTATTTATACGTGTATTTATTTATTTATACTTGTATTTATTTATTTCTATTCCATTTATATATTTATGCTTATATCTATTTATTTATACTTGTATTTATTTATACGTGTATTCATTCATATATATTGCTATTTCTTTTATCCTTATATTTATTTATACTTTTATTTGTTTACATTTATTTATCCTTCGTTTATTTATTTATATATCTATACTTTTTATGTATACTTCTGTTTATTTATACTTCTTTATCCTTTGTTTTTATATATATATATATATATATATATATATATATATATATATATTCTTTAATGTACACTTCTATTTACATATACATGTATTTATTTATTTCTATTTCTATTTATTTATCCTTTTTCCTTAGTTTATTTATTTATAAATCTATACTTTTTATGTAGAATTCTATTTATTTTTACTTCTATTTATTCATTTATACTTCTATTTATTTATACTGTTTTATCCTTTGTTTATTTATTTATATAGTTATATTTATTTATGTATACATCCATATATTTATACTTCTATTTATTTCAACTTCTATTTATTTATACTTCTATTTATTTATACTTCTTTATCCTTAGATTATAAAGTTTTTCATCTAATAAAACATTCTTTCTTTCTTTCTTTCTTTTTTTATCATACATTTATTCCTCTTTTTCGTTCCTTTCTTTCTCATTTTGTTTTTTTGGTTTTTCATTTTCTGTTAATTTCTTAGTAATTTTTAATTTCTCACATGTTACTTCCGCTAAGAATTCTTAGCCGGAGAGACGAGTTACTATTTCTGTTATGATCGTTATTTTCCCTTAAACGAAAATTCCCTAAGGACAAGTATGAATCCAATGCTTCTCCCACTAGCTATTGGTTAATTAATAAGACTTAATATCACTAGACCATTATTATCTAACAAAAATACTTATAAACTTACACAAAATAGTTTATGGGTTTTAATTACCAACAAAGGGTTGATAAGCCGTAAAAAATGAATCAGCCAGCCCTTTTTCTATATTTCTTCTTCGTTTTCATTCATTCTGTTCGGTCTTTTTTTCTCTTTAAGCTTTATTTCTATAATTTTATATTCTATATATTTTATTTCTTTTGTTCATCTCTAAACCTTTGTCTTTTTTTTTATATTATTATTATGTTTTTTATATATATATATATATATATATATATATATATATATATATATATATATATATATATATATATATTATGTTATGGTTATATAGTTATTTTTTCTTTTATTTTTTCAGCTTCATTTCTTTTCCTACTATTAGTTCTTGACTTTCTTTCATATTTCATTTTTCTATATTTTTCACTGTGTCCTCATTTCTATCATTTTTCAAATATTTATTATTTTTTTAATATTTTTATTCATACTTATTTTACTTTATCTTTTTTGTTGTTTTAACGTACTGAGTAAACGATAAACTACATCCGAGAGCAAGGCCTCTGATCAGGAGGTTTTGAGGAGCGTGGAACCACCTCTTAATTGCTGGTGATGGCAGGTCCACTCTGACCCGGGGTGGTAGCACCCGTTAGGGTCCCAGCTATGGGCAGATAGTTAACCCCATACTGGGGTCAAAGCATTATGATGGTGTAATGGTTTAAATACCAGTAATACATTTTTGTAAAAGATTAATGCAAGCACTACATTTTTGAAGAAAAAATTATTACCAGTAGTACATTTTTGAAGAAAAAGAATTAGTAGCAATATATTTTCGAAAATAAAAAAAATAATATATCACCAGCAATAAAAATCTTGTCGGCATTATATAATCCATTGATTCAAATCAAACCAAACCAAACCAAATCAAATGAAATCAAATCAAGCCAAATCAAATGAAGCCAAACCAAACCAAATCAAATCAAATCAAACCAAATCAAATGAAGCGAAATCAAATCAAACCAAACCAAGCCAAATCAAACCAAACCAAACCAAATCAAACCAAACCAAACCAAATCAAACCAAACCAAACCAAACCAAATCAAATCAAACCAAACCAAACCAAACCAAATCAAACCAAACCAAACCAAACCAAATCAAATCAAATCAAACCAAACCAAACCAAACCTTCCTTTTTTCAAACATTTTCTTTGTTGTTTTTCATTATATAATTTGCAATTATTTTTCCTAAACTTTTCATTTTTTTTATTTATTCTTTCTTTCTTTCTTTTAAACTCTATTCTACCTTTGAATTCGTTTTTATAGATTTACTCTTTTTTTAATTATAACTTCGTCGGTCTCTTTCTCATCCTATCTCTGTTATTATTCATTCATCTGCTTTATTTTCTTTCTATAGTGAAATATATCCCGTTTTTATTTTATTTCATATTTTTCAAAGATATGCTTTTCTATCTTTTATTTATTAGCCTCGCTCTTCTTTATTTGTTTCTTTATTTATTTATTTTTTTGCATTTCAAAACTTTTCTCGCTTTTATTCTTGCGTAATCTTTGTTGCCTTACCAACACCAACTTCCATTTTACACAAACTACTCTGTTTCTTTTGAAATTTTCCATTTTCCATTTTTTTTTTTCATTCTCTTTAACTCGATAGCATTTTAAAATGTTTATGATTATTTAACCTTCGGCATTTTCGCATCTACGTTTTATTTCTTTTCTAAAAAAAACATTGTATTTTCATGTTGTCCACTTTTTTCACCGTTCGTCATCTCTACGTTCTAAAATGTAAAAGCATTCTCTTTTTTTTTTCAAAATTATCATTAAAATTCCCTGCCCCTAACGTTTTTTAATATGCATTTATTCGCATAAACCTGAAAAATATATTACATTTGCAGCACAAAAGAGTACATGTACATATATATATATATATATATATATATATATATATATGTGTCTGTGTCCTCATGCCTGTGTGTGTGTGTATTAACGGAAAAAGTTTTGAGTGACTTTCATTATTTCTTTATAAAATCACTTAAAATATTTCCAATACTACCAGGAACATCAGAAAACATCCACCTACTACTGAAGCCATTTTGAATTGAGAAAAGACAGATATCGTGTTCAGATGAGATATCACCAAAAAGAAATTAACACCTGCACGGATATTTCCTCATAAAAAAAATTAATAGAAAAATCATATACAGCAAAAGACCAGCCGAAAAGTTTTGTTATTTTTTATGCTTCATCTTCATTAGGAAAAGAAAATACATAAGTCTCACCAGAGAATATTCATATATATATATATATATATATATATATATATATATATATATATATAATGTAAATTTGGAAGGAGTCATGAGGTGACATCACTACTATAAAGAAAGATTTAAAACTGAGGGTTTATTATCAGAATTCCTAAAACACTCTGACCGTAGTAAATAATGAAAAGCAAATATGATTTTATATATTCAAACTGCTCGATACATACATACACACACACAAAAACGTACACACACAGACACATATATATTGATTATATTAGTGGTCAATTTAGATATATATATATATATATATATATAATATATATACCTACAATTAACAATAACACATTTCTAAAAACATTTTTCGGATTACATCTATATTTTCGTTGTCCTGTTATTACCGAGAAGTAAAAAAAAAGAAAACAAATCTATTTCCATACCTGAAGATGTCTGTAGGAATAGATGAAAGCTTGTAAAAAGCTAAAAAAGACCTTATACAACTAGAATTTATAACAGTGGCTATAACAATCATATATAGGTTCGGGGTTAATGTACTTTATTAAATTTGTTTGGGAAGATGCATTCTCGCCATTTAAATCATTAAATTCTATATCTGTTTTTGTATGAATGAATCATGTAATGTAAATTGAACTGCACCCCATACTTGATATATATATATATATATATATATATATATATATATATATATATAAAATATAAATATAGTCTTAAGGTGTGCTATAGTTATGGAATAAAGTGCTCAATATCAGAGATAGAGCGTGTGTAAATATAAAAAGTTATATATGCAACGTCAGGCCTGACGATTGCATATAGTATGAAACAGACTGTCGCCTGTGTTGACTTTCTATGTTCATTTTATGTATATATATATATATATATATATATATATATATATATATTATATATACATATTATATTATATATATGTATATATATATTACATATATATATATATATATATATATATATATATATATATATATATATATATATGCATGTATGTATGTATGTATGTATGTATGTGTGTAGATTTAATATCTGTAATGCCAATTTTATATAAGTTTGATTAAACACAACTTACAAAGTACAGCATTGCTATTACGTTTTTATTCATTTTTTCTTGCATTGGTACACGTGTTTTTCCTGAACACAAAAGTGTGTAAACCTTCCCATTATCGATGATATTTTATCTGAATTTGCATACATGTGTATCTATAGTGAACATAATTTTTATTTTCTTTCAAAAAACTGTCAGCATGTTGTGGGCCTGTTCATTGTTGATATTAGTGTCGCTTGACGTTTTCTTTTTGCATTATTAATACTTCCATTATTTTCATCCATTTTGCAAGTTGATGAGAGATAAACGTTGAGTCTCCGTGATAGATATCTAATGGTATGGCTAATAATAATCATACAGGAATTCGGTTTGATCAGGCACGCAGTTCCTTACGGGACATATAAACTCATAAAGAATATTTGTCCCTTGTAAATTGGATCTTGCAGGTTGTTCTTGACATTGAACTTAACTGTTTTTATTTTGTTATAATAGATAATTTAATTTTATTGTTCTGGTCGACTAGGGTTGAGTATTTCTTTATAATGTACAACGTGTATTTATGATGTATAACGTATATTTCCTAATAAGGTTTTGTGTTTCTGTTGCTTAGTTTTCGGGCTTTTAGCAGGTAGTCTGTTTGTCGAAATAATATTTTAGATTTGCACACACACACACACACACACATATATATATATATATATATATATATATATATATATATATATATATATATATATATATATATATACTAGCAGCATGGTCCGGCGTTGCCCGTGTTTGATTCAAAAATCGTACGACTCTTACAGCAATCGTTATCACTTGACTTAAAATATTGTTGCCCTTCCTTGCCTTTAAAGGTGTCCCCTTTGCCGTGCTGATGTTGCTACATGCCTTACTTCTTTCCTATCTCACACTGCGATTTTTTTCTAAGCTCTATACTAAACATTAAATCTGTTATGAAAATAGAACTAAACGAAATGAACACAAAACGATCAGCTTTAAAAAAAGGACTCGTAACTGAAAAAATCGAATGAAAAAAGAATGTTAACAACAAATACTTTTTCACGCCCAACCCAGTTCTGCGGAATCAGAATCAACGTTGAGTTTAAGCAAGCGAATGAGCCAATTGGAGTAAAGTGCCATGCAGAATTAAATTTTTCCCACTTGTGACGAATGCAGCTATCGATTTTTTTTGCATGCTAGCATGCTAGTTAACATTCGTGTCAGTCACCTGTTGGCTCTCACGCTGGCGAATAGAATCTTCCTGCTTATTCGTGGCTGCCAGCTATAGGCCCTTACTCTGGCCAGTAGAAAATAGCTGCAAACTATATGAAAAGTGACGTAGAAGCATGAAAAAATCCATTATTTCCACTATCGATGGGAGTTGGGAAATGCAATGTCGGTCTTGGCCTTTCCACCAACTTGGAGCATGTGCATGTAAATTTTGGTGCAAATCCGTCGAAAATTGCGGCTGTGCATTTGTTACACACACACACACACATCCTGCCTTTTATATATATATATATATATATATATATATATATATATATATATATATATATATATATATATATATATATATTAAAGACGACTGACAAGATACTGTGATTGAGCTTTTATTCAATTTGTTCTTTTAGAAAAGGAAAAATGATAAAAACCTTAATCGCAGTACTTTTCAGTCGTCTTTAATGAAACGTGTATAAAAGAGAGATTGCTGTACAAATACACAATATTACACACACACACACACACGCACACACGCACACACACACACATATATATATATATATATATATATATATACATATATATATGGAGACCTCTATCTGCAACATAATCGTTGATAATACAAATATAATAACCCCAATCACATGTATAAAAAAAGGATAAAAATATTGTAATTATTAAAAATAATGAAAAAATAACCCAATGATCAATAACATCAACTCTAAACACGGCCTCAATGTGCTGACCATATTTGGAAAATAAAAACATTCCTACAAATTTAGATACATACAAAAAAAGCAATCCATTCAGTTAAAAGTTAAAATAAAATCAGCCTTGTTAATGGCTGAAAATATAGCTGACAGCGCTCGGACATAAGGAGCATGCTGAAAATTTCTACATACTATATATATATATATATATATATATATATATATATATATGCGTATACACCATTTGATAATTTTAGAATGAATATTTATAAGAGAATTAAGAGCACAGTCTGTCTTTTTGGGATTTTCTAAAGAAGTCACGAGAATTGGAAGCCACTGAGAAATTTGTTTGATACAAGCAAAATGAATTTTGTGAAATCTGAGAGAAGCCATTGATAAAATCCTTATAACGTAATCCACTTTTTCTTCGAGGAGAAAAAAAGGGGAAAAATCTTAATCGGCAGGCACGTGAAGAAAGAACCAAAAAAAAAAAAAAAGTAATGAAGCATTGGATATGAAGACACGTTACAAAATACAGAGATGAAAATACGTTCGTACTTACCAGACGTAAAAAAAAAAAAAAGAACACATTTTGTTGTCCAAAAATATATTACAATATAAATGTGGGGCACCTCGGCATGGTGTGATGGTTAGCAAGCTTGCCTCGCTGAAACATTTCCGACTGAATAGTGAGTTCGATCCTCACTGGGTGCCCCATACTTTCGGCCTTGTGCCATATGTAAGCTACGCTTGGAAAATCGCTTGGACATCTGTGCGTGGTGTAATGGTTAGCAAACTTGTCTCGCTAAAACAGTTACGACTGAATAGTGAGTTTGATCCTCACTGGGTGCCCCAAACTTTCGGCTTTTTTTTGCCATATCTAAGCTACGCTTTGAAAATCAATTTGGAAATCTCGACGTGGTGTAATTATTAGTAAGCTTGTCTCGCTAGAACATTTGCGACTGAGTAGTGAGTTCGATCCCCACTGGGTGCCTCTAATATTCAGCCGTGTGCCACATATAAGCTAAGCTTGGAAGATCGCTGTTGCACCTCGAGGTTGTTTAATGTTTAGCAAGCTTGTCTTGCTAGAATAATTACGACCGAGTAGTGAGTTTGATCCTCGCTGGGTGCAGCATATTTTCGGCCTAATGCCACATCTGAGCTACGCTTGGATAATCACTTTGGGCACCTCGAGGTGGTGTAATGGTTAGCATGCTTGTCTCGCTAGAACATTTACAACTGAATAGTGAATTCGATTCTTACTGGGTT